GATTTTTTTCTATATATTGAGTGTGTATATTTGTCAGAACAAAATTTTTTTGTTCAAAGCCAGTTACAATAGAATAATTTTTTTTGTTTTTATTAAGTTTGATCATAGATTAATTTAAATAGATGTAAAATGCTTGACACACCTGTGTACTTTAAAAATTTTTGAACAAATTATTATTTTAATAACTTCTATTTCTCTAAATAGGTAATAATAATTTTTTAAGCAAATACAGTGATTGTAAAACAAGGCCCACAAAATTATAGAGGGAAATATTTTGCAATGCAAGAGAAAAAGTAAGATTTCGCTACACTCAAAAAACACTTTATAGATTAAAATTTTATAGTTTACTGCCTTAATTATGGATTATGAAAAATAAGTTTTAGGTGTAGTACTTTATCAGAAATATAAATTTAATAACAAGCTCATACAAACTAATATTTTTGACAAGTGAATGGTAACAAAATACCGTGCGGTTAAATAAAACTATCTTGGTGTATACGTACCAGCATACGAACATTTTTCTGACTATATTTATATTTACCCCTTTTCCATTACGAAATATTATTGCACGTCCACAACTATATATGGCAATTGTTTAATTTGAGCTTCAAAAATCAACCAATTATTTCTACTGAATATTATTGAATATGATCAGTCATTGTAAATCCATCATTATTCCAAAAAGAACTACCATCGCTGCTGATATTGATTTCCCAAAAATAAAATTATTCGCGTTTTATTTAAATTAAATTTATAAGAATTTTTTTGGGCATTGAAGAGAACAAATACAGATTTTTCTTTTAGATTTTTGTTCTTGTTTCCATTATTTTTATGTTTTCACTCACTTTTATGTCTGATTTGACCATCACTCTAAAAATATTATGAATAAAAACAAAAACTTAAAAGATATATTGGGGGAGAGCAAAAAAAAAAAAAAATTTCTTAATTGATGGCACCGTCACAGTCGCTGTTTTAATGTGATGTGATAAAAATTTATATTTTTTTATTTTTTCTCCTGCCATGCCATGTATATTTATAGATTTTCGTCCATAATAACGAATATATACATGGGTATACATTTACGTACATACCTACATTAAATAATACCCAATGCTCCATCAGTAGCGAATAATTCTTTAATAAAAATTTAAGGTATTAAAAAACAAGAAAAAAAGAAAAAGACCACAGTTAAAAACAGTAAAACGAGAAAAGAAAAAATAACAAAAATTTTATAAAACCCATGAGGGAAATAATACGAGATTCATATTGAATGACATAATAATATCTATACATTGTTTAGATATTAGATAATCAATTATGCCGACATACTCATAAAATAGTATGCATACATATATTTATAACATACTTATGTACTAGTTATACAGATGGGTTAGGTGAATAATAATTCGTAAACAAATAAATATAATTTTCACTCATACTAATACAAATAGCAATATATTCTATAGATATAAAATATATTCCGGCATGTGTATAGTAGATCTTATTAATTACACGTTGAATATATAAAAGTGGAATGAGAAGCTTCAAAAGTTTATTTTTAATGAATGAATGAATAGCCATGTAATTTATGTAATGTACGATATTTAAACTCTAAGATACTAATTTCATTCTATTAAAATTAAAATGAAAATTTGAATTTTTATTACCAGAAGTAGACTTCAAAATATGACTATGTACATATATTACTAAGAAGAGATTTGTTTGTAGTAGAAGCATTAACAATAAAATCAAATTTGTAAGAATATTCACAATTATGTAATTTTAAATGTTGTAAATGTCGCCATAGTATTTTATACATAATGTTAGCATGTAAAATTCAAAATTTAAGATTTATGAATTATTTTTTTTCCATAAAATATAGAAAAATTCAAATACATAATGTAACCGTGCACTATTAAAAATAATATTAAATTTAGTGCAAAAGACACTATTAGAGAAATCGTGATTAATCAAGCGATTGATTGACTTTAAGAAAAATATGAGAATAAATGTAAAATAAATATTCGAGTTTTACAGTTCTTTGGAGAAATACAAACAAGTGTTTGATTAAAAACTTCTCGAGATTTTCTAGAAATTTATCATACCTTATTATTAATAGATTGCCAAACTTATTGAAAATCAGTAGTGGTCAAATATTATTTGACATAAATTCTGTTCTTCATTACCCTAATTATATAAGTATTGATAGCCATATACATATACTTATGTATGTACGCCTATTAGACTACCAAGGACAAAGCTAAAATTGTTTTCCGAACTATTATAAACTAACAAAATTTACAATAACAATGTTTAATAAAGCAATTCCAAAGTATTTCGATTGAAAAATTTTTGTGTTTCGAGTACACTTACTCTTATTCTATTAAGAGTGTTTTTCAAAGTTTACTAAAAATATTTTAATTATTAGTCGTTCATTTTTTCTAATTAGGAAGAAAAGAGAAATAATTTTTTTTATTTGAAATTTTAACTTTAAGTATTCAAATATTAATATGTAGAATCAGCTAAGCTAAAAATATTGGTCAATTTCCCCAAACACAAATACATAATTTCAAACAGCACTTGTGATTTTCATGCAAATTATTAAATTATTTTTGATTTACTCTTTAAGTTTAATGACGTGATAGTAACGCACATATGGACTGAGTTAAAAATTATAATACTTGCAAGTTTTCATTTATAATACCTACACCAGCCAAGTAAAATTTAATTTGATTTACGCTTAAATATTTTATTATTACAATTATTATACATATTAACTGCAATTTAATATTAATGATTTTATGAAGTATGTATATTTTATGTATATATTACTATTCAAAGAAAATGTATAACTTTAATAGTACGTGCATAGCATAGTGTAGAATCTCATTTTGATATTAATTATTAATTTCAATCATAAAACCAAAATGTTATGATGATTAACACATACGGCGTTTTTATACTAATCTAACTATTTCATTAAGAATTTTATTATACAAGCATATACTAAGTTATGCATAAGTAAAGGCATATGTATCTATATACTATAATGTACATGTATAAAAAGTAAATTTATAGAATACTCATGGTAGATAATTGTATTGTATTCGCGCAAACACCCACTTAAAAAAAAAAAAAACGGGAATATGAATCATAAAAATACATACCTACATATTATAATTAGAGATATAAATAATAAATTTCAATATAGTATATATATATATACATTTGTATTCACATATTGTATCTTAAAATTTATATGAACACGTTTTCGATGACAAAATAAAAAACAAAATGAAAAAAAAAAAGAGTTCATGCTAAAAAATAATTGTATGTGAAATGTTATGTATGAAAACAATAAAAATAATTGAAAGTGATTTTATTTTTTGCATCGCGTGTTTAAAAAAAAATATTCAATTGCATTTATGAAAATTAACAATAGAACCGATTATTGTTAATATCATTATTTTAATAATTAATTATATGGTTGAAAATTTGACATTATAAGTTTTTATAAAATTAAAAAATAAGTGTTTTAGATGATTTGTATATGGAAAAATAATTGGATATGAATTCAAATATAATATGCACACATTTGAAATTTAAAGTGATTTTATACAATATATCAATTATAAGTTATTGTGCAGAACGTTATTAAAATATTTTAAATACATACATATATGAGAATTTTTCGATATTTTAAATTTTTTTTTTTAATAATAATCTAAAATAGGGGGAACCCCAAACTATTTTGTGGCTAATATTATTATTCATGTTAATTATATAATATTAATGATCTTGTACATAATGTGACAAAAGTGCAACATATAATCAAACTATATGTATAAGTATTTAAGGTACGTAAATATTCATGTAGGTATTCAGTTGATAATTCGATGATGATTACTTTTATAATTTTATATTTACATAAATTGTTTGAATTAAATCAGTTAATATTAGGTCTGAAATACAGTAATTCAGTATAATACATTTTAAGCGAGAAGAGTTTAAAAAGCAGTTGTAATTTAGGAAAATTGAGGTGGATATATCACGGGATGATTTCTCTCTTATAATTTCTCTGAAAATTTTTTTACGGGAGTTAAATATGTATATAGCTATTATATAAGAAATTATTGGCTAAGAAATATGGTAAGTATAAAGAGCTATACAGAAATGCAAAAATTTCTCAAATATTTTGCAAATCGTTATTTAGTGAACACGAATAACTCTCCTGATTTCCCTATTTTATATACAATATACATGCGTGTATACGCATAGATGTACTCGTATGTGTAAAATTATTAACTTATTTTAAGAAGCAATGTCATAAAATTCGCAATTTTATGTTTATTTTTTTTCTTCTTGGTATATTAAATTTTTTTTATTGTGATACAAAAAAAAATTTTTTTTTTTTGGTTTATACTAAAAATACTCAGCCTATTTCTATACATACATTTATTTGTACCTATACATTGATATTATGTTTAGGAGAATGTTTTTTTTTTGCAAAGTGATAAAATTTTCGAAAAGAGTTTTACGTTAATTCGACTTGCCAAAATTTTTATTACAACAACCAAGCAAATTTTCCTTAAAACCAAGAAAATTTTGTGCTAAGATTACATAAGTTGGTAAACGGTGGTTACACTTTATTCGTCATAACTGCTGATTACATAAATGTAATATTTGATTCATATTAAAATTCTAACACATCCTCATTGCAAAATTGTTAGTGTTAATAATGATTTTTTTTTCAATTTTGCCTTTGCACATAATTTTGCTTTCAAATCTATTAACAAGGTTAAATAAACTATTCAAATATCTTCAATAAATTACACAGAATTTAAATTTGTAATATAGCCATTTTAAACCTTATATAACATAAACTTATTTTAACGTAATACGAAAAAAACTAGTTCATTTAATTATTCAAATATTTGCACATCATAAACTAAAATTGGCACAATAAAATTTTGGAACAAAATTTATGGGTGATAAAATTTTTGAAAAATCATTAAATTTTTAAAGAATCTTAAAATTTTCGATTTAAATCATTAAAAACAAATGTATTTTCTCTTATAACAATATTATATATTTTAATTACTCACAAAATAAAATTCTTTAAAGTTCATAATATAAAACTTACCTGAAAAGAGAAAGAAAAAAAATTTTTTTTATTAGTTAAAATATAAAAATAAATTTAAAATAATTAAAAAATTAGAATTCGGAATTAATTAACAAAGCTTAAGAGTGCTTACTTAATTAAGAGAAACAAATTTAAAGTACGTCATATACAAGATTAAACGAAACAAATAGGGCTATTTAGATCATTTTCTAAAAAACGCTGGAAAACCGAATCATTTCGCACTCTACTAATCAAATACTAATATTTTTAAAGTAACTCTACTCTAAATATGGCATAAAGTTAGGAATAATAGAGGAGTAATACTTACAATCCGAATATAATAATAGGAGTAATAATTACAGGATACTTTATTTTATTTAGAATTTTAATTTCAATTCATTGATAAGGTAAACTGATCACGAAGTATATAGTAACCGATTCGGAACAATTTCTTACAAATCGTATTTTCAATTTTCTTCAAATCAAAAGTCTATAAGTACAGACATTACCGAACATTAGAAATTTATTTATACCCTACTAAAAATATGACAAATTAGAAAAAACAAACAACTAATACCTTAAAAATTATATCGGAAATATCCAAATATAGAATATTGTTCTAAATTTATTTGAATTTAAGTTTTTAGATATTTTGAATCTAACTTTATGCAAAGATACCCATTTAGAGGTACAATTACAAAATACCTATATATTTATATACAATCTATTAGTGATTGACATTATACTTTTGAAAGGTTTCTTTAAATAATTGCATAAACTGAATTTTGCAAAAAACAAAAAAAAAGTAAAGAAGGAAATTCAAAAATAATACCATATAAAACAATCTCCCAGTTCTTACTTAATATACCCAGAAAAATCAATAAGGTAACACGTATTTTGTTTATCCATTTTTTCAATATACTCTATATGTAGAAGGCAAAATATTTGTAATCGAGAATTTTAAAAGTGACCTTTAAAGTCACATTATAGTGTAGAAAATTTGTTTTGTTATTACTTACACCAGAAATAATATTGTAAGTGTAAAATAGTAATGGTAATAAAATTCATTGCAAAACTTAACCTTAAATTCAATGAAATATTTTGAAAATTGATACGAAAGGGTTTATTCTATTTTCAAAAGGGTTTATTGTAATAAATTTATAATATCAGACGAAATTCTCTTATTGTTAATTAATTAATTTCTGTTTCAAGTAAAAATTAAGTCAAATTTCGCATAAAGTAAACACTCAATTTTAAAAGTCCACTTTTTATACTGAAAATTGTAACTAAAGGGAATATTCAAATAAGATTTCATTCGATAATAATTTTTTCTGCCCTTGTCTGTCCAAAAAATTTTAGTGGCTGAACGATAGTATTAAAGGTATTAAAATATCAAATCCAATGGAGTTTCTGATTAGTATAATCAATTACTGAATAATCTAAATAATATAAAGTGGTCAGTATATTCTCAGAAATCACTTAAAAAATCGTTTTCTGAGAATAAATGTACATTTTCCATTTTTAAAATTCAAAAGATCCAAAAAAATCACACGTAACTGTTGAACTTACCATCCATAATCTTTACTATTTTTCACTTTGTAATTATTATTATGATTAATTGTGTGTATTACTAATATCAGTGTGTCTATGTGTGTAATAATATAAAAAATTTGCTAAAGTAATAACAATAATAATAGTAAAAAGAGTGTCAAAGATTACACTTACGCACTGACAACTTTTAAATTTTAAAATTTAATTAAATTAGATAGGTAATTTTTTTTTACTGTACGAATGAATTTTCTATTCAATCCCAAACCGTATTTTGTTATATAAATTTTACACCTTATTGTAAGCAAAAAAAAAATCCGAAAACAGAAAATGTTCAAGAATAAAAGTGTAAAAGATTAATTTAAATAAAAATTCAATAAAAGCTGTTCAAAGAACAAATCAAAACTGACCATCGCATCAAATTTTTTTTAGAATTAGTTAAAAAGATGTAGTATTTAATTATTGTATTAAATAGTTAATTATTTAATTACTATGTCAGCCTTCCAATGATTGTCATTAATTCTTAAATACGGATGAAATATAATACTCGTATCTAATATATTATACAGTGTGCTTCAAAAATCATATCCAATGTCATTTTCAGTGAAAGGTCTACATTTTTTTCCCCTCTTCACTTCTAGGAGAAGCATAGGGGTAGGCAGTCATGCCCCAGTTTCTTTGCGTCACAGAGCTTTCAAGTAGGTGACTAGCCTGCCGTAGTTTGTTTTCTTTATTCACATTATTAAGGTTTAAATATTAAAGATTATAATATAATATTCAATATTTTATAAATATATGAAAATTATTTCTACACTAATTTTTTTATTTTATAAATATTGCATATTTAGTTAAAATAATATTGAATATAATTTTTTTTAAAGTGACCTGAACAAGGTTTGAACCCAAGACCCCTTCGGTTAAAGGACCGTTGCCATAACTACTGCAAATGATCAGGTTAAAAAAGGTCTATCAAATAATATCCATAATAAAAATAATCTCTAGCAAAACAAAATTTTTAGGTTCTAAAAAATGCTATGTATTTTATAAATTTTTCATCATAAACTCCTTAACAATTTATTTTTATGTGACTAATTTAAATTATATTCAAAACTACAAATATTTATGTACCAGGATTGAAAAATATTTTAGAAAAATTTTAAATTATTTTAGAAATATTGGGTAGATCAAGATATAATAAAAATTTTGTGAACTTTATTGAATGATACGGTTCAATTTCAATAAGAAATTTAATTGTCTGTTAATATTATTAATTCCGATTTATACTTAAAAATTTTTAATTCTTCGAATTTCAAGTCATCGGTATTTGATTTTGTTGTAGTCGAATAAGAGATCGGTAAAACAATACTTTACTAATTGTATGCAAATAAAGGATAATAACTGAATTATATAATTATTAAAAAATTTCTTTCAATAATTTACTGATTATTAAGTATTTATAATTTTTAATAACAAACATACACATATATATATACATATATATATACAGTTATTAAAAAATTTCAAAATTTTCATAAAAATTGATGATATTAACAAAGCAATTAACATTAATTATTTATTAACCTTACAATTTCATTATAGAATTTTCTCAATATAATGTAAGTATGTATATATAAGCATGTAACTAGATGACTATATTACGTATGGATTCATTTGCTCATATACACTCATACTAAATAATTTCATACAAATACACATTCACAAATTACACAGTACTTATATTCAAAAATCGCAATGAAAAATAAATTATATAACTGTAAATACTATATAATTATAATCAAGTATTCTTATTTAGTCAAAAGTTCTTGTATAACGGAACTTGAACAACATAAAAAAAAAATAAATAAATTACAGTTATTAACGACATATTAAGATATTAACAAGAAAAATTTTTCTCTTTCCAATTTTTCATACATTCACACACACTATACGCATGTACATTATAAATACATGTATATGTTATGTGTGTTTGCATGTCTTATTAAAAATTTATACCTTGTTATTGAGTGTTTTTAATAAGTATAATTTTGTGGTCTTTATATTGTCATTTATGTTTAAAATGTTTCGCTTTATAGAAATTGTGAGATTAATTAGAAATTAAACATTAAATGATGATCTTTGAAAAGTTAATGGAAATATTTTAAAATTATTTAGAAAAATATATGAATTTACACATTGTTCTGATATTAACTCGATCGTTACGATTTTCAAATGAGAATTAATCGTGGAAAATTCATCAGATTTAGATTTTTCACTCATATATCAGATTATTTAGAGTTTCCCTCTCATGAACGGTATTTAGTTCCCATAAAGCATACTGCTGACAATACTTATAAGAGCAATAAATTTTTCAACAAGCTTCATTTATATTGAACAATACCATTTCCAAGCTCAAGTAATTAAGTGTCTTAACTAATAAGCATTGCAAAAAAGGATACTATAAGGATATTCTGCTTATTTTCATTAAATCAAAAATTTTTTTGAAAAATAACATGTTTTAATTGTGGAATGAAAGATGGTTAAATATACAAAATAATAAACTAAGAGATATTAAATCAAATATAAAGGGATGAAAAATAATAAATTATTTACCGATGCAAAAATCACTTAAATTAACAAGGCTAATAAGAGAACATTCCAATTATATACATAAATTTCTTTTTGAAAAAATTTCTTTATCTGAATGTAGTAATAACTTAACCATCCAACACATTTTTGATAATAATTATTACAAAATTTCAAGTATCAGAGCCAATTATTAAAATACACAATATTCAAGTCTTCAGAAGTAAAGGCGCAATATGTAAAAACAATATTTTGAACTTCTTTAAAGAAATCAACTTTTTTAAAAAAGTGTGATATGTTAATAAATTATTTACTTTTGCATTGTATAACTTTAACAAATTTGCATATTGAAAACTTATTTATGTAAATTAATGAGCAGGACAGGATAAAATCTAATAATTTTATAAAGGCCAGTAAAAGAACTTTTAATAAATTAATAAATAATTTAGAAATTATGTTTTCTCTTTAAAAAAATTTTAACAATTCGGTCGACTGTTTAAAATATTTTAAATATTCTTAACATTATTTAAAATTATTAACCATTTTTGTTAGTAACAGGAATATTTAAAAATCAAATAATTACTAATTATTATTTAGCCAAAATATCGATAAAATTAATCTGAAACAAATAATGAATACCTGCTCATAAATTCAGTAAAAAATAATTTCAAATCTTCAAGGTAATAAAATCTATCTTTAATTAATTAAAAATATATTTTTTTAATAGTTTATAATAAAATAATTTCTTCTCCCTTTTTTAAGCACTTTCCAAAAATTTTTTGAAAAATAGTGCTTATTAATTTCACTCTATTCTTCCGGCCATCCGTCTATGGACCCGTTTGCAAGTCTTTAACAAAATTTGAAAATATTATTTTAAATCTTCTTAAAAC